ACACTTTAAGAAGTGACAGCAGAAGCAAGTGGAAGAGAAATAAATTAGACAGTAGACACTTAGAAAATAAGGTTGGAATCAAAATCCTGGATGAGGATACCCCACACACAGGCTTTGGCTCTGTATCTGAACTCTCCATCTTGTGCCCAACTCTAATCACTACCAGTTTCTTTCTAAAAGGCTGTGCCTGAAAGAACTGATGTGTTATGAGACAGCCGTGACCTAAGTAAACTCCAAACAAATCATTCATCACTGCAAAACTCCAGAACAAACTGGTTCTTTCTCAGAGAACAGTGTTCTTCTAAACACATATTATACATAAAGAGGAAATAGAAAGCACATACTGTAGGCTTTCATCAATTGTACACAAAGCCTTTGATAACTCTCTGAATAGGCTTGAGATCATTATGCCCAGGGCCAAGTAATGCTCTGCAGTTTAAGATCTCATTTTCCAAAATTTTGGTCAAAAGGGTCTTTTTAAGTGCAGCAGAGAAAGGAACACTTTTTCCTTGAATATCATGATCACTCAAATCCTTACATGTATCATTTTTTCTACACCTAATTCAAACTTCACAATCTCAAGGTCTGAAGCAGGAGGTACTCACCCTATCCACATCAACAGCCAGGTTTTCTCCTCCCCATTCTTCCCTTTCAAAGCCCACATTATTCCTGGAGGAACTGGCCTTTCCCAGTTCTCTGTTTTTTCTCTTACCTTTCTGTCACTCGGATCTGCAAACCATGCTGTGTTAATCTTGTTTTGTTTTTAAACAACCTACTTAAAATTTAGATACACTAAAAGATTCTTTTGCAGATTCAGGAAGGTAACCAGAGGTGGTCCATGGACCAAGGAAATGCCCACCATTTTATGTTCGGCAGTTCATACCATCCTTTTGGTTTAGAGGCATACTAAAACAGGAGAACTATGCTGATCATTTTAGGAACAACTACTCCTAAATAGTGGTGAATTTTACTCCAAAGTGTTTTACTGTAACCACCTTAATCCAGTCGCCTATTTTCCACTCATTTCCCTTTGAAAGCTAACCCTACATCAGCCTGAACTACTACGGACTCAAATCTATCTCATGCTCATTAATGTGGTGGTTTTGTTTCAGATATTTTAGCAGCTTTGGATAATAACTACTAAAAACATTATGCATTTAATTTGCTATCACATTTTGTATAAAATTAGTAGAAGCAGTCATCTCAATAAGGTATTTGGACTTTGCAGCTCCTACGATAGCTCAACCATTTCTTGTTCTTTAAAAGCATTTTGTGACAACTGGTATGTAACATAGGTGTGCTGACACTGTGATATCCTGTAATTCACATTAACAGCTGCACATACAATTACAGGCCTTCCCAAGTAAAAACCTGACCAATTCCAAGGAGTTTTCTCTGAGCAAGCAAGGACTGAAATTCCTTTGAGTGATAGAGAGATCAACAGAAGCCTTTACAAGTGTTAAAACACAGTCTGATCCCGAGGGCATGCATAAAAATGCTACCTGCTGGTGACTGAAAGAGCACAATTTTCAGACTCTATTCAATTCTACTGAATTTCAGCTGGTATTTTCCAATATGTAATCATCAGAAAGGGATCACAATTACCCTCTTCAAGTAAGCATTTCAGCATTCCCGTGTTCATAGGAGGGTCTTAATGGGCCATACGTTTTGAGATTAATCAGTTCCCTTTCCCTGCCTCTGATTCCCTGTCTCACAAGAGGGCTGCTTACCAGCAAAATTTGATTCAGCTCCTTACAGAAAACAGCATCAGCTGTTCATTTGTGAGTCAAGCCTAGGGAAGATCACAGGGTTTTGGAACCAGATCTTTGTTTCTGTCTACTCAAAGAGTGGCTAAACACAGAATGATATAAAACAGGGATGGTGAGGACAGATGGGGTCACGTACTCCATCTCCTAATCTTCAGGTAGGGACTATTTTGTCTAAGCACTACTTAGCAGATAATTCTCTGACTTACTCTTTGGAGATTCCATTGGTGAGTTCCCATAATGCCTCCACGAAATTTATTTGAACTGTCTGTATCAGTAGAGAGGTTCTTTTATGTCTAACATACAGCTCCAGTTAAAGACATCATTACTTCTATTTTTTCTGGCTGTAGACATATACTAAATTACTAAATTTGGTAGTATATAAATTTGCATTTGCTTTACTTACTCCTGATACCAACTGCTTTTTCTGCAGAACTGTTTGAATAGTAGGGTGTTATTTAAGACTTGCCCTACACTATTGCAGCAGCTGAGCCCTACAATATCACAACACTTTTTATTTATTTCAGCAGAACTCAAATAAAAGCTGTAATTCATTCCCCACAACAAGGTGCTATTGAAGGCAGTCTGGAGGGGAAGATCCTAAGAAGGCATCAATATCCTAGAAATTACAATAGCAGGAATATTTTTTAGTGTCTAAAATTACCATGAGTCTATTCCGAGCCATGGTGTGTCTCTTCCAGAATAATGTGTTTCTTTTTTTTTTTTTGGTGATACTTCAGTAAGAAAATACAGTCACACTTCAAGGTACTCTACCATTGCTGTCAAGTTATCTAAGAGTGTCTAACAAAAGCTAATTTACAGTGGGAGGGGTCTACAAACAGGCACCATTAAGTCTAGAGCGATGAGACTGACTTCTCCTTGGACATCAGTTTGACAAAGTTATAATGTAGAAGGGTACTATAACTCTGTGTGAAGTACAAGGTTTCCATTCCAAGGAATTCTTTTACTTCTTTCCTATTCCTCCAAGCTAATACACAGTGAGGCTTCTATTCTTAATCTATTCTTAAGGGAAGGCAAGAAAAATTAATTAATAGACGTTTGCAAGTAAGTAACTAGTGCCTTTTTGTTTTTTTTTCCCCAAAATAATGAAAATCAGAGTTCTAATTAAGATGGGATAACAGATTCATCTTCCTAATGCTCTTCCCCAGCAGAGTTTTGTAACTCTAACAGTAAGTACATAATGAAAATTATATGTACATGGGGTAGAGAGATCGAGAATGTTCTGAAAAATATACAGCAACATTGTTTTCTGTACATTAAAGCAGAAGAAGCAAAGCTTGCATCTCATTATCTCAAGTTGCAGAGATCACTAATCAAAGTTATTCTTCCTACTTGATTAATTTCCAGTCTGATACAGATACTACATAACCAAACACTAAAATCGTTTTAAAGTGCTTAAAGACAAAAGCTATCATCGTTATTCCCTGACTGGACAATTAACTGTGACCCTCTAAGTAAAGCGAGAATTTCAACATTTGAAGGTTGTAAAGAGACTATAAAACTTACTATCAACAAACAGCCCATTACAGACCAGCATCTGTAGGATGGTAGGTTTTTTGTGTGTGTGGTTTTTTGTTTGTTTGTTTGTTTTGCAGGAAGGGAGGTGTTGAATCTGTTAGCAGATTCCAGCCACTATCTTTTCTATTTCCAGGTTAGCAAAAGGAGAGGAAAATGGCAGGGAACAGCAGTCCTTATGGTAACTGGAGCCGAACAGGATCAGACTGGAAAGTTTTGAGTAATAGATTCTCCTTAGTGAATATTTTTAAGACAAAATGAACTGCCTAGGAACCATGAACGTTATTAAAAAGTAAACAAAAGACATTTTCGTAGAAGATGAGCTAAACAATTGTGAAAGCAATGAGACTGAACCAATTTTCCTAATACAAATAATAATTCAGTTTTCTTAATATGCGTTCTTTGTTTAGTTCTTTTCTTACATCAAATGCTTTTGTCTTAGATCAAACTATCATCACATAGTGATCTGCCCAAATGTGACTCAGGTTCACTAGAGCATAGATCCACAACACAACGGTCACATATTTTCCAGATAAAATAACTGTAATTCACTTCTAGTTTTACCAACTCTTCTTTGGTGCATGGCTGTATCTTAATGCTTATGAATAACATTGTGGATTGTGGTTTTTTTGTTTGTTTGTTTGTTTGTTTTTTTCTGTCTATAATACCAGTCACTCGTACAAAAAAATGTTAAATATTAATGTAGGGATGTATCTTGCAATCTGTTCATAACTTTGTAGAAAGACCAACTTCCAAAGATTCATGTGCCTAAGGAAGCCAATAGGGATAGCTGGGAGAATTCAAAAAGAATAGCCTTGTATTGCAATATGCAAGAGCTTGGGCACTCTAAAAATCTCACTACCTGCAAAAGCAAGTGCTTTGGAAAGCCTGCCTCCTCCTTCTGCACAAGTTAATGTGAATTGGTTCTACAGCTACCTATGTGTGTGTACAGTTACCAAAAGTCAGCCCTCCAAAAAGGAGGAAAAAAACTACTGAGAAGTATATGGAAACAAGCCCCAAACTGCTCAACTCTGGAGACTACTGATCCTTCTGAATCCATGAGAATTAATACAAATCAGAACAATAAGAATCAGTTTAATGTGCAGAAGGACACCAGCACATACTAGCATCAACAGGAACCTGTAACTTCGGGCACATCAACACAGCTGGTGGCTGCTCAACAAGGACTATAGGATCATATACGCCCCGATAAACCAAAAGTCCCTCTGGAAACTTCACATATACCCAGCCAAAATTTATTGGTACATCAGTGCTGTTTTCCACTTGTGAATAGACAAATGTGGTTGACCTCCCAGTTGTTGCTCTAACCAAGTATTATGAGGGAGTGAATGAGTTTGTGTGAACTGTATGAAGGAATAAATGGACAATGTGGCTAATTATCAGCTAGTAACAACAGCTTGGTTCTATTATTAATAACAGCTGCATTAATAAAAGGTGTTTTAATTAACACTGGTTGTGATCTGTGTCTTCCCCCCAACTCAATTCCCTACCAAGGAAAAGAGAATTTGTAGCACTCTTTTTTTCTGGTCCTCACTATGTGATTGGCTCTACTTCTCCCCAGCAGGAACAAGCAGTGTTCGCATGCCCCTGCAAGCTTGTATGAGGGGGGAAAAAAAAGGCAGGGGAGGGGGGAAAGAAAAAAGAAAGGAACGCATTTTATTATCTTAAATTACTTACTTGGTAGGGGTATAGAGTAACACCATTCGTTCTTGACAAAGACCAGGTGCCGTCAAGGTACTGATGAGCCTGGATAGCCACAGAATTAAGAACGTTACCATTGCTGGGGCTGGTGGCCATTTGAAAGCTGACCTTGGCTTGGTGTCCAGGAGAGCCATTTTTCTTCTCCACCCCATTGACAATTCCTAGACTGTTGGGTTTTCCACTGTGTTTATTGGTGACAAAGCCTGTATAATTAGACGTAGCATAAGGAGCAGGCATGTATGCCCAGTCCCTGGGCTGCAAGCTGCCCATGTGCCGGGAACCCACTAACGTGGGGATGTTGGAGAGGGGTGGGGGAGATCCTGGCGAGGCATCGTAATGTTCTGAGTTGGCAGCCTGCTCTAAGGTCAGCACCATCTGAATGGCCTCTTGCTTCAGCTGGTTCAGGTGTGTGGCACAAACATCGCATCTGTTGTCCTTCTCGTTCCATGCCTTCCGAATGGTATTGGGAACTTGGAGCTTGTCATGAATCACTGAAGAGAAACACGGGTCCTAAAGAGCAAACAGAGAAGGGAGGGGGGGACAGGAGAGAAATATTTAACCACTGTCACCACAGTGAAACATTATTACTGCTGATTGTGCATTTCAAAAGCCAATTTATGAGATAAGCTTAGAATGCAAATAAAAGCCATTAGATACAGTCAACACATGCCAGCAGCAGAGTTAAACAAAAATGAGAAACTGGATCATGTAAGAAAGAAAAAAAATATTTTACTTTTACTGATAAATGACAAATGTTATAATTCCAATGCAAGCTTCAGTGCATGGCAGGGAGAATGAATTAACCTGCTTCACACACACCACTGCACCTAATTTCTGACTTGAATGAAATCTACTTCTAGTTACACAGGTGAGATCAAGGGCAACTCCCCTAAAATCAATGGGCTTATAGCAAGGTTCGCTATCTACTCATCATTTGTAGCGAACAATTTTCTCCTTGGAAAGTGTATTTTTGAGACAAAACCGTGTATGATTTAAAACCGCCTACCTCATATCTTTACCTTGTAGGTAGAGTTTTCAATGGCAGTGGTGCTCTCTGTGGAGCCACCCCAATCTGACTACAATGCTGGCCCAAACTGCACAGCAAGTGCTTCAGCAAGTTGTGATGCCAACCAGCAGTCATAGCAGGGCTTATCACCAAACTTGCCTAGTTATGCAGCATTGTGTGGTCTTAGAAATGCAGAGCAATGATGTTTGTTATGCAGAACAAACCATGACAGCTACGTGATGGAAACTAACATTTCTAATGCACTCATCTGAGGTTCTCTCTTTACATGCAAAAAACAGGAGTTCTAGACTAGCAGTGCTGGAAGTGGTGGAGAATATGTATATATTCTGTGCATATATGTATATATGTACATATATGATAAGGTAGGTGAGGAAAAAGAGCTTTATACTCAAGTCACTGGTTATGGAAATTTCACACAATATTTTAGCACTTTTACAGGCCAGGCTTCCCCTCCTTAAGTTTTGGGGACTTATTGGTGGATTTTGTTCTAATTATTAAAAAGATTTACATGCAGTAGCATCAGAATCTATTTTTTCTTCTTTTTCTTTGAGACTTTAACAGCTTCAGCAGCAAAATGAAATCAAACCGGAAAAGTAGAAATAAAAAAAATCCAAAAATAGAGACCACCCTTATCAAGCAATTTGATGAGCCCCATGCCATCAAAGATGGACAGATTTCATGTCTTGATAGTTTAGCTGCACTGGGAAAAAATGAGTAGGGGGTATCATATAAGGAGGGAGAAAATTCATCGGTAAAGGGTCACATTCATTATGATCCATCTTTATTATATACTCAAGCATTTTATTTTCACTGTTTAACTACCGTGAACAGCTCCTCAGCATGCAGTGATTAATTGATTCATAAATCATGGTGCCTCTTTATGCACAGCAGCAAAAGAGCAGTTCTAGCCCCAGAAGCCCAAGAGAGCCATATAAGCTGATGGGAAACAACAGGAGGCTGAGATGTGATCAAGCCTCAAACTGGTCATTTCTATTCCATGCACAAAGGGGGTCAGAGCATCAAAGTGTGTCAGGGAGGCAGGAACTGGATCCTGCATCAGCCCTCCCCCCTTAACCTTCAGGAAAAGTGGCTGATGGAAATCAGGGGGAAAAAACAGGAAGCAAAAGATGTCAAATCCTATTTTCCATCCAAGACCACAACTAGGTCAACAGATCACATCAGATACAGGCACCCCACCCATGATGCCAGGTACGCAGGGAGAGGACTCTACTGTTCCCCTAATGCACTAGACAAAGCCATCCATACAGCTGAAGTGAGGTGTGAGTCTTCTCTCCTGGCTGCTCAATGTCAGTCCAGGAAAAATCCTCGCCGGCTCTTCCTGCAGCTAGCTAATGCCACAGAGCTGGTGGTTGTTCTTTGAAAGTTAACTTCCCTTAGGCAACTGGGCTCGAACCCAGGTACTTATACACAGCATTCAGATCCAGCAGCAGTTTAACATGGAAATTCCTGGATACTATGATAAATATTCCAAGGAAATAAAGCCTTCTCTTAAAGTAAGCAAATGTCAGTATGATATAAATATTCAAGTAGCACACCAGCTTTAAGGAGTGCTGGACAGCAGTGAATTCAGCTTCATCTCAGTGTTAAAACAAACATCAGATCATTCTCTGATACAACAATAAACAGAGAGAGAGGAAGGAATACTGTTCCTTCTCGGGAGTAGAAAGGAATAAAACAGACACCACCTGAATTGATTACTGTTACAACTGGCCCTACTTATCTATCAGACTCCCCTACGTGGATAGCTCAAAACTGGATCCAGGTCTAGGATATGAAACAAAATCCTACAGGATAGCGAATAAATTTGGAGAAACACAGGTTCCAGAAACATTAGTCATAGTCTGTTCTCAACAGCAACAAAAAATGCTAGAGCCCATTTACTTTGTTATTCTGCACTGGGCAGCTCCAGTGTAATTTCGCAGAAGAATTAGTGGACAGACTTGCAACACATCTAGGAGAAGGTCAAGGCTGGACAGTCACAGCACCCTTGTTTGAATAACAGAGCAACGCAGCTACATGACACTAAGTTTCATTATATCATCTGCAAGCAATCATCTGCACACATTCCCCTACAGAATGCCTATTAGTTCAATAAACAGGATCTTGTCCCATAGGCCTGTATGAAATAGCGACGGGCAAACCCCATGAATATGTGGTTTGTGCTAGCTGCACTGAGCAGCAGGAGTTGGAAAGGTTATACTCACTACTAAAACCTGTGAGGTCTCAGAAACCCCATACACACTGTCATGAGAGCAGATTTGCTTGTGAAATCTGAGGTTGACACTGGAAATACCATTTATATTTTGGCACTCATTTCCAGGCCTGACAGAACAAAGTACAGTGACACTGAAATTGAAACAGAACTTTAAAAGTCACATAAGAGTTTGGTTTGAGTTCAGGGCAAAGGTTCATGATGGTTTCTCTTATTGCTCTAATGGTTCACCCATCTTTAGTATAAACAGCATTACTATAAACTCCTATTCCTAGAATAAACACATGAAGACGTGTAAGAGGTCTGAAAGCTTCAGGAGATCTGTCACAACATGGACCACAGCAAAAATGCACAAGGCAAGCACTGAACTAAACAGAGTACTGAACTGAACTTGTCTGCAAGGAGCATTTTCGCATTGAGTTTTCAAGCTCAAGTAAAGACCAATGCCAGCTATGCTTGGCTGTTCATCGTCTCTACTCTGGCCATCTATTAATTTATCCCTCCTCTTTGGTCTTGAATTATAAAGCCACGTTGGAAATACAGTAGAGTTAAGAAAGTTTTGCTTTTTAGAGCCATCACAGACAGGGATGCTGAGGAATTTGTGCTTTACCCATTAAGCAGGCACTAGTTAAAAAACATTGAAGTTCACAGCTGTAACAGGGTAAATGCAGCCCTGACCTCATGGAGGAGGGGGGACCGCACAACTGTAGGTCATGTAAGGTAATGCAGAAGCATCCTCTCTTTGTCTGCCTTCATAAAGCTGTACCTTGCTCTACAATTTTCATGACATTGCAACTCCATCACTGGAAAGCAAACCAGGAAGAGCAATTCTTTCCTTCCTGCTACCCTGCACGGTGCCCATCTCCCTCTACAGAGAAAGCAAACACTTTTAGCATGAAGGACAGTGCTTCACACACACACACACTCATACAAAGCTCAAAAGGCGACAGGACACAAGCAGACAGAGCTCAACTGGTGCAGAGAGGAGCAGGCCAAAAATAGGATGAGCAATTTGCACTTCCATGTTACATGGCACCCAGCTGATCAGAGGTTCATAAGCAAATGTTTCATATGCCTGCTACTTGTTTCACAAACCAAGAAGGTCGACAGTAATATAGGGCATGCAGTTGTGCATGAAATCTTAAATTTTGTTCTGCCAACTGTAGCCAATCCTATGTCGTTACCTCAGAGAAAACTCAACTTTACAACGGATCTCAAGACCTGCTTATCAAATTTTGGTTTTCAACACCAGTATTATTCATTGCTCTTCAGGGAAGAACAAAGCAGTCAACACCAGCTAGATCACAGAGGTCAGCCTCTGCTTGGAGATGCTCACAAAAAACTCATGGATTTCTCTTGTTTCTGAGAGGGTCCAGGCAGCAATGACTGCTGGTGTGTAATCCATCACACAAGGAGAGGGGAGAAATAGGGGGAACACAACAATCAAAGCTCTGCCCTGGAAAGGGTGTTTTCCAGATTCACATTCTCCACAGGCAGGGAGTAAAAGAACTAATTAAGAAATGTAAGTAGGAGGGAAGCCTTAACCCTGATAAAAAACACATGTTTTTCCATGACTGTGCAAACATCTCTGCTCTAAACACAATCAGGCTAGTCCACGGTTGGTCTCTATTTAAAAAATAAATAAATAAAGTCAGCTTTTTCTGTTCTCTTTTCTCTCTTGAGGGCTCACTTTCTAACCTAATAAAAAGATTATACTTGTAAATTTACTTTCCAGAGGCACTTGGGCTATTTTCCAAGTGACTCTGCATCCTAACTTAAACATATCCTATCATCTTCGAGGCTACATTTCAGAGATCTGCTGTTTTCAGCATTCCAGAGCCCCAACAGTTGAAAAACAGCTTCTCACTGTTACAATGGCACCACTTCTGTTAAAGCAAAAGCATGTTCAAATAAGCCTCAGTCAGTGGGAGTTTTTCCTCAAATAAGGATGACAGGAAAGAGACCATGACTATAAATTAGTAGGACTGTATCACCAGACTGAGCTGGGAGACTTCAGATAAAAACCAGTTGGTTTGCTAAGTAAAGACTGAACCATCTGAATTATCTAAGGTGACAGGATCTCTGCTAGCACAAGCAGCCTTTGCTGAGTAAAAGCAGAAGTTGTATGTGAGGAAGACCAACAGGGCAGTGCGATGGCCTCCCTTTTTCTTTTGCTCTGCACATCTCAGCTCCTTTGCTAGAAAAGGAGAATATAATTCCCTCTTGTCATTCAGGAACCCTCTCCCCAGC